CTCAAGAATAGCCAAAGACTTCCAGACCTACGTGCCCCCAGCCACCACCACAAGCCTCAACAACCAGCGGCAGGAATTAGAGTCCCTACGCACAATACTACGCCTCAGTGGCAAAATGAGATCACTTGTGGCTCTCGCGATTGCAGCACTAGAACAATCACAAATAGAAGCGGCAAAGATAGAAGAGATCACTAGAGATGGCGAAGTCAAAGCACGCCAACCATGAAGGACCCAGACCGGGACATCTGCCGAGCGCTAGCACTCGGCCTGGAACAACAAGGATAATCTCCAGCACCACCCTCACATGCCCCTGAGTCCTCAACCCGAGCAAAGAACAGCTCGGCCTCCTCAACCTCTAGGCTGAAGCCAATAGAAGCACAGGCCGCAAGCACGTTGCGTAAGCGATTGTGACGCTTGGAGCGGTCACCCCCACAAAGGCAGGAGCGGGCATAGTCCCCAAACCTGTCTGCGATGTCGTCGCACAACGGACAAAAGCCATCAGAGGAAGCGACCGGCAAACGCAGGCAAAAAAAATCAAAATTGAGATGAAAAAATATAGGATGTAGAGATATATTTATATTGAGGCATATAGATATTAATATTATAATTTTATTATATATATATATATATGTATATATATAATATAGTCTTAAAAATTTCATATATATTAATTGTAATGATTTTCGATAGGAAAGAATAATTATAGATTCCGAATTCAGATATGTATTTAAAAATCATTATCGGCCCCAATTCTCGAAGAAGGAATGGGAAATAATTCGATATTAATCATACAATCTGGCTTACAACGATTTGATGATATTTATGTGTACACCCTTTTGCAGAGGAAGCCATAGGCAAAAAATCTCACCATCTGAATGGTGAGCTTTGCATACTTCACTTTCCTACAGTATGTACAATTCGAAGGCACCATATGTGCCGCAAAAGCTTGCAAGCCTGCGGCATGCAAAACCTTCTGCCGAGTGGCGTTGCAATTAAGGACGGTGTCGTGCTTCTTTCATCGTGCTACCCCCGATTCAGGTCGAAGTGATTGACTTCGACAGCAAGCCCGAAACCACTTGGATGGCCTGCCAGGCACGCGCGTGCGTGTATGTTTGTGTGTGTGTGTGTGTGTGTGTGTGCCATGTGCGTGTGTAGTTGGGTTGGGCACGGCATGGCACCCTTAGCTGCAGTGCTGCAGGCCTCAGGCCATGTTGCAGCCACATGCTCAACCACGGGGATGTCCTTCGACCACCTTCCGCAGTGTGAGAAGATGTGCGAAGATGCTTTGAGGATGCCATTTACTTGCCTCTCGGCTGCAGCTCTTGTACGGGCACCGTTTGTGTCGCAAAGAACCACTACCTGGCCGGACTATGATTCAGCGCCTTTGCTTTGCTTCCACAGGTTTTGGGCATTCCTCCATGGCCTTCAGTGGCGGCATGTGGGTTGCCTCTTGAAGGAAGCCAACCTCATCGAGAAGCAGCTTCCACACGAATTTCGTACATGAAGACTGAGTGACTAAGTCACTGAGCTCCAGGCCAGCTCCTGTGCATTTGCCCAAGACACAAGGAACACCAAAGGTCTGGCCTTGACAGCTTTCTTGCCAATGCTTAGAATGCTTAGACTCTTAGACTGCTCTCAAGAAGGTACCCCGATGCAACCGGCCTTCTGCACACTTCGACCGCGCTCTGCCCGAACCCTTTGCTTTTTCTTCAGCCTGGCCAGTGCTCTGCAGTGTTGGTTGTCCGGCAGGTGTCCAGTGTTCAGCATTGGGGACCAGGCAGCCGCATGCACTTCTCGGCTGTTTTGTGCGACTGGCAGTTGCAGAAGCTGCTTGTGAACTTGCAGCGGTATGTTCCGGGAGCTGTGCAGGGTGTTGCATCGGAGCCTTCGCTGCCATGCCGATGGACTCTTCGAGCTGATCCCTCAACCTCGAGTGATCTCGAGTAGATGGTTGTGGTTGGCAACTCTTGCGGGTGTGCACTCATGTTGCGCTTTGCCGGCGCACGCGGCGCACGCCGCATGTGATCGTCTGAGCATCTTGCCCCTGAAACTCTTGCTTGAATGCTCGCGCATCACACCAAAAGACCTGGTCAGGCGAGAAAGAGCAACAGCACCTCTTCGTGGCAAAAGCTACTAAAGAGGACGTTGACGCATGTGACGCTCACCATCCAGCAAACGAGGCTGGCCTGGTGCGGCTTTTCTTGCTGGCTGGAATGCCTGTCCAGGAACGTAAGGCGAATATGTGCGACCATCTTACTCAGACATTCCTTGGGTTTCTACGCTTTGCTCCAAAGCCCAAAGCCATGGCCTCTGGCACGCCTGAGAGCACAGAACACATCAAAACACCATGGTAGCGGAGGAACGCAAGCGACCAAGGGCCGAGGTATTGGCTGCACCAGGCTCGTCGCCGGCACTGCTGCCGGCTGTTGTGCTGACGGGACTGGCCTGCAGATTCACTTAACTAGAGATTGCTCACACATTTTCAGCGTGCCCACGGGTGCAAAAGGTTCTCAGGTGTGCGCACTGCGGCATCTGCTCGTCGTGTTCTCATGACGCGACCTGCCACGTCTTCGAACCAAACACTCGCAATTAGTGATGGCGTGACAATGAGAAGCCCAATCAAGAGTATCGAGAGTCAAAGATTAGTTACAAGACACGTGGGTGGCCTCGGCTATCAACTCATGCTACGTGCCCAGGCATGCTCAGCGAAACGGCGCGAAACGTGTGCCTCGGAACAGGTCCAGGTGTCTGCGGCACCTCCGCGGCAACTTGAAGACTGAGACATTCTGCATATCGTATTGGGCAAAATTGTGCCATCATATGCCGACACTTAGCCGGCACCGTGTGCCATCGCATGATATCGCATGCCAGTACATCACAGTACGAGCTAGAGCAGCTAAGAGCAACCAGAGGGGGCGCAGATGACAGGATAAGCAGATACAAGCAGCAATGCAGTCCCGCCTTGGAACCGTTAGGGCCAACGGGCAGTGGACCTGGGACAAGACCTGCCATTGACAACAAAGCGTTGCCTCTTAAAGTCTTAGAAGCATCAGCGAAAGTTCGCCCACCTGCCGGGAGAGGCCCGCTGCTTGTGGTGCATCTCTGAAGACACTCATTGCTGGGAGAAGAAGCAGGCTTCTTCTGTGCAGTTCGTGGCAAATCGTGTGAAAAACGGCAGGCTGCTCCATATTTGCATGTGCCGCGGACATGCCACTTGCACTGCAAGGTCTTCACCGTCACAGGAGTAGAGGTACCCTCTCTCTGTGAGGGTTCGGGCTGCGATGTCTCAAGCCAAGTCCGGTCTGTCCATCGCCACTGCTCCCTGTCTCTCTCGGCCCTCTCGGCTTGAGAAGCTTCTTGACCGCGTAAGCCTAGGCCCGGAGTCAAGCCTGGTGGAGCCTCTTGGGGCTCTTCCGGCAATGCCTGTGCTTTCTGTGCTTGCTGAAGAACCTCAGCAATGTGCTCCAGAGAGGGTTCGTCAGCTTGATAGCTGCTTGTTCTGGAGTGGAAGCCGCTATGGCCGCTATGCAGGCTGTTCTGCAAGCCTTCAAAAGACTGAACTGGCTCCGATGCGCAGCGCAAATGGCTCGGCCGCCATCGAGGCGGGCTGAGGAGGTCTGCGCAACCCTCAGACCCTGTCTCATCCACTTCAATGAAGGTGTTTCTGACGCGAAAGTTGACATTTCCGAAATTATCCCAGGAAGATTGCGATGCCAAATGAGGCTGCACATCTTCAACAAGCCCATGCAGGGTTTGGGTATCGACAAGCTCTTTATCTTCTTGAATCGTTCGTGAGCGCTGCCTGGCATGACGGAAGCTGCGCACTGGAACAGCAAGTGTGTGACGAGCATGGTATGCCTCCTTCCGCTCTTGAGAGTCGAGATTGGTGCTTGGGAGGACATCCACCATCATTGGCTCTCCACGCCAAGGCCTTTGACCCATGAAGTCTGGGTTGATGTCTATATACTTCGGAAAATGAAACTGCCGCAAGGCCTCATACTCATCTGTCTCTCGTATGGGTGAGACATACGAGTGCGCACGAGGCGAGCGCATCAATGTGGCACCCAGGCTTGTGCTAACTCGACCTCGCTCAGGGTTTGCAGGTCCATGTCCGCTGGATTGGTCTAACATGGTGCCGAGAGAATCCGGCTCTAACGCTGCGCTTGGCAGTGCGTCAAGAGGTGACGTCGCAAGACTCATTGGTTCCCAAGGAGATCTAGCAAAAACTGATGACATCGGCTCAGAAGCACATCTCAAGTGACCCCGGCGCCAAGTGCGCCCGAGCGTGCTTCCGCTGCTTAAACTAGGAACGGCTGGATCAGCACGGGCCTCCGTGCTCTCATCCACCTCTATAAACGTGTTGCGCACATGAACCGTCTGCCAGGTCTTGAGTCCAGGAGGTTCTGCTGGTAGCTCAGATGAGCTATCCTCTTGTCTAAAGGGATGCGACATGGTTCGGCGAAGGAGCGTGACTACACGCACAAACCTGCGTTAAATGAACTGTGCAACTGCTGAGTGCAAGCACCATCTTGTCTGTCCAAAAGCGTCTCAATCTCACCATTCGAGACATGCGGCTAGTTCTGTGCCTGTTCCTTCCACCTTGAGCCAGAGCAGGCGACAAAGCTCAGCAGACTCGTCGAGCACACGTTGACTATACTTTGCATGCATGTGCTGGAGTCCAGCGGTTGCCAATGTTGGCAGCTTGTTTATCCTTCTAGGAAGGCGATCAAATTCCGGAGCATAGCCACAGCTTTGGTGTCCAGAACATCCGGCGATGGTGACGGTGCACTGCTTGCAACACTTGTCTTGCTTCCTGTTTACGGGTCTCTCACCTATGTCCATTGTTGCGATACTCTAGCACGAAGGCAGCTACAGCTACGCACCTAATGTACGGATACGAGGCAGACTGCTGAAGGCTTTCATGGCACGACGGTCTTGTGCCATCTTGCGTCCCTGGAAGTCGATCCGGGGTCGATTCAGTCTGTGCCATCGGCTGAAGTGCTCCATATTTTCCACACTCGTTTCGGTCAGCTGTAGTAAGTTCGTGTAGCCCGGGCTGACAAAGGACGAGCCGTTGCAATGTCGAAACTGTACAGCTGATTCAGATTGCGCTCCACGGCCTTGTCCACATGCCACCATCTCTCTGTGCATTGAGCAGAAGGCCAGAGTTTACCAGGCGTAAAAGCACAAAAAAACCAAAAAACAATGCAAAGCCTGCCTCCCGGGAGACTCGACTTCGTCGGCCTAACATGCAGCACTGGACGCTCGCTCGGCATCCGATAAAGACTTCTCAGGGTGCTTCAAAGGCGAAAAGGCCGCGACTGTCAAACTTGCGCCAAGGTGACGTGGATCGTATTGCCCCTCCTCACAGGTGCAAGCGGGCAATACGAAGCATCAATTCGGGGACATGGTTTCGCAATAGTGTTGTGGTGGCGAAATAATCGATGCCCCGTAGCCTCCGGAGTGCGACCTGGCTGTCAAAGGCAGCCTCGCCATGGGCTGTGGTACTGGTATGCCGGGGCAAAATACAAGCAGAATTGGAGGAACATCATTGGTACGGTCTGGCAATTGCCCTACAAGCCTGTGTATCTGCGCAAATTCGAGGGTTTGGTGTCTTGCTTCTTTTGGTGCAAAGCTGTCTTTTGAAACGATGCGACAGGGCCGGGTGGCGACGGCTGATTGGATGGGGAAACTTGGGGACATTGTCAGCGCGCAATTTGTGTTGTGTGTTTCGGAGGGGCGATCCTCGGTAGCTGTTGATCGAGTGGGGGTCGTCTAGGGTCGGACAGGAGAATCAGATTGTTCCGGCCGGAACCAAAATAGCATGAGCGTGCGCCTAATGATTAGCGCGAGGGACCTCGATCGTTGTCGTCACGGGATTATGGCTGCACATGTCTGCAATGATTGTGCCTGCTGATATTCCCTCCGACATTGATTGAACAATGTAATACAATGTATATATGTATACTATGATCACATTTGCTGAGCATGTGATGACCATGTTCACTCCTGGATCTGTGTCGCATCACATAGATGTTCCACTAGCCAAACCTTGAACCTTATGATTCCAGCTTCCAAGTTGTTGCAGCTGGGACATTCGACTTGGCCAATCGCGTATACCTGCACAAGTGCTGATTCGATGCAAAGCTACCCTGAGACTCCGAAAGAACGCAACTTTTGCGAACCTCTCGGGCGTCGACCGGGGCTGTCCGTCTCTTTCTATCTGCTTGTTCGTTTGTTTTTGTGTTTGTGGGTGTTGCGCAGGGGTGCGCATGTGAACTGGGAGGCGTGGCCTAGCAATCCAGCACCCGAGTGATTCGGTTCTGACTGACGTGCTTCATGGTGGACAGCAGATCATGAAAGTCGCGGTCGTTTGCAGCGACAAGTGATCCAGTTCCGGCCTGGTTCCATAGCCCAGGCCCATGACATCTCGACCCAGAAGATGCTGCCTCAGGAATGCTAAGGACTCACTGCTTAGTAACCTCTTAAGTAAACACAACCAGAGAGAAGCAGAGGCGGAGGACCAGCGCCGCAGCACACTCAAGTCCTGGTCAGATCTGTCAGATGTGGAAGGGCAATCTGGAGATAAGTGCTTGATGTTGGGATGTTCCCTCATATACTAACAGTCCTTACTAAGGATTGCAGTACCACCTATTAAAGTGATCATCCCGATTAACGACTGTTAGTATAAGGGGAACATCCCAAGCCAAGGTTGATGAGTGGCACCTCAGCAGCTGTTGTGGGGTAGATGTCACGGTCATGGCGGCTAAGCTGCCCTGGCAGGCGATGGTATGGAGCACTGTCATCAACACTACCGAAGAGCCCACGAAACAGTTCTGATGTCCAGTCGGCCTCCAGTAGATGACCTTCACATTGTTCAGTTTGTACGACGGGCTGAGGTAACAAGTTGGCTTGTTCGACCAACAGGTGGTTTTGCAGTTTGAGTTTAGCCTGTGCTTTCTGGTCAGGGGCCGCACCCCTCCTCCTCAGGCTAAGACATATGCCTACTTGAGCATATGCTGGAGCCTTGCGCTATGTTTGTCTCCCGGCCTTGGCGTATCTGCCGAATCGCTGCGTGCCTCTTTGCAGGGGCCATGACTGGAACCATCAGTGGCAATTGAGTCAGCAGCCTTGGCGAACGCAAACCAGAGCCCCTGCTTTGCTCGAGCACTGCCTTGAGACCAGTCGAAGGATTGCCCTTGATGCCAAGAGCCTGAGAAAAAATCGCAATTCAACCCTAAACCATAAACCCTAAACTGCCCCAACCCCTAAGTAGAAACATCTGTGCACGCGAGGGCAGGACAGGCGGCGACGTGCTGGGCAAAACCTTGCCGTCTGCCTCAATTCCTGACCGTGACAAGTTGAGGGTTTCCGAGATTAGGGGGTACATTGTTGGGGTCCACAATCTAATGGAACTCTATTCTTTGGGGGACTATATCAGTGGTCCCCTATTTCGTAAACCTCCAGTTCAATTTGCAAGAACATGACGGCCAGGGTAAGTTTGCCTCAAGGATCCTGGCCTGCTTGGAGAGCTTGCTCCAGAGCGCCATGCTCTGCCAAGGCCCTTCCGAAGGACGGAATGCCCTTGCTTTGATGGTGCCCCGGATCCCTCCCATTGCCATATTAATTAGCCAAAGCCCTAACTCCTTCATGAATTCTGGGTTTTTCGGGGAATAGCTTCTTGTACTAGGGGGTTACCGACTTCCAGACACTGCGCGGAGGCCAACATAATGAGCATATTTATTTCTTTCGACTGCGGGAGCAATCCTGCCATTTTCAAGCAGGCAATTATGGATACTTCGCCGCAAGCTTCTGTCGGGATACCGAGGGTGGGGAACTAAGCCAACTGACTGGCTTTCAGTAGGGGGACTGTTCGGCCTGGAGTTGCTGATGCGCATCCCAGGAGTTTGGCAGCAAGCGGAACACTCACAATCCCACCCAGTGTCTCTCTGAAGCTCTCCTGCGACTTGCGCTCCTGCGGCCCGAGCCCTCACTCCATTTCTAACTTTATGAATGGCTCGCCTCTGGAGTGCGGCAGCCCGGTCGTCCAGAGCAGCACGAGCTTGTTGTAATAGCACCTGTGCCCGATGCTGCTCAGCATCTAAGACCCCCAGGATGTCAAGTGCGCAGAAGGCCTGCTCCCGTGCCATACCACCCACAGAGCGCAGTCTGTCCCTGGCAGCGGGCTGGGTCATGCTGCGTCAAAAATCTCAGAGCATCTGTCAAAACCAAAGCCAATGGCACGCGTCTTGCTGCCATTGATGTCTGAGCCTTTCGTATGTTTCAGATCTTTCACTGCTTGTTCAGAAGACCAGAGCGTCCCACCAAAGCGCCGCTTTCGGCCAGAGGCCATGCTAGGCACTGAGTCAACCACTTCTCGACTGTCAGGTGCTCCGCCTGGAGCCTCCGACGCTCATGGTGGGCGAGGGTGGGGGGTTCGGTTCGGCACAGATCCGTCGCCCAAATCTGAGAAGCCAGCTGTCTTCTTTTGGTGTGCAGGAATGCTGCAGCCTGCGCATGGCAGATTGGTGCCCATGCCAGACAGGACGCATGGTGCAGACAATGACGAGGTTCGATGAATGACTGGGCGAGTCTGTTTCGCAATGCCACAACGCGTCAGAAGATGCAGCAAGCATGACAAGCGCATCGAAAATCATGTACCGGTATTCCTGTTCCGGGACGCATCCTGCCGCTTCGCCCCCTGACCAGAAAGCGGGCTTCATCTGCACTTGCCCTTTGAATTACAAAGGCATTGCAATATCTACTGTGTCTGGGCTGACTGAAATTCACCGCGCCAGTGCAGTGTTAGCTGACGTGCCACACTGCGGCCCACCTGGCGGAGTGCCCGCTCCCACCTGCTTGCACCACTGCACCAAGCCGTGCCAACATGAGATGAGGGAAACAACTTGAAGGAACCTCTTCGTCTTCTGCTTTGTCTTGCCTGCAGACGCTTGCAGCGACTACGTCTCATGTCACGTGTCATGATGCAATCCTGCAGAAGCGTGTCGACGCAATCTTCATCTAATTCATCAACTGTGGCACTTTCGATTAGAGTGTCGACGCTCGCTTGAAGCGACTGGAATGTGGATCACGGCGAACTGGCCAAGTAGGAATGTGAGGGGGACTTCGGTTGTGCGGGGGAATCGAGTTTTTTGCTGGGGGGCCCCGGGAGTTTTTTGACGTTTTTTGGGGGTGAAAGCCGGGGTGGGGTTAGGCGGTGGGGGGAAGCAGGGTTGGGGTGTACGACTCTTGACACATAGCCAGCAAGGCTGCGCATCCAAAACGCATATCGAACACTCGAATATCACGAATACTCGCCTCATCAGGCATAGCTGAGCTGCAACAGTTTGAGCGCAAAGCGAGAAACAGAGTTTGACCGACATCAAGAGACTAGCAGGCTTAGCGGCACTACTCAGTTCCTCTGTCGACTCCTATTTGTAACCATTGTGCCACATTTCTCGGACATGGGGTTGCTGGTACTTTTGCAAAGTCGTGGTGGGGTCATCACTGGACGTGACCAAGCATGAGTTGACCATACAAAGACATACAGAAGCGGTGGGACCTTTGGTAAGACCAAAGACATGCTGTAAGAAGCACATAGTGACATAGCAGCACAAAGAAAGCAACTCAGCAGCGCCCTTGAATCGTGCAAGTTTCATGCTGCTCACTACATCTCTTCTCAGGCGTGCGCCATGCAGGGGCGGGAAGCACATCTTCCGCTGCCTTGTGCGCTGAGGCTGTGCAGAAAATTCACCAAATCAAACGTAACTAGTGCGGTGCCTGCTTCACGAGAACGCACAGCAAGCAAGGCTGTAGCTGCAGCTTAACCCCATAACTTTGAAACATTCCACGCATGCCGTGTCCTGGGTGATCATGATGCGCATGTGCATGATGCGCATGTGTACCCACTGGAAGAGCAGACCGACATGCGCGCGGAGCTCCGAACGCCTTGCGCAACAACCTTTTGCATAGACCGAACGAAGCACTCTGATCTGGAGCGCCGGATGTCGCTGAGGAGCAGCTAGCTGCTTGCAGTGATTCCAGAGGATGTGTCTGAAATTGGAGATCAGTGCAGAGTATGCAGCAAAAGTCTTGGAAACTTGACGAACTTGTGCTGGAAAGAAATGGACTTTAAGACACTGCCTCGTGAAAGAACAAATTCAAACAAAGTACTATTCAAACCTTTCGAAAGTTTGACAGCGCATCTGCAACACAGCCACAGGAGCTGTGTTGTTTTCGCACATAATCCATGAGCCAGATGGACCCTGCTCAGACACACACGCACACAGTCAAACACATCAGAATCGCAAGATATCGCCACATAAACATACCCGGAAGACACTGGGAATCTCTGAGCTTTGCACTTGTGGAGAGTTTGCCAGTGGGCTCCCTGTGGAGCACAGGCAGCGGAGAACTGGCAAACTGTACCAAGTGTCTGACATGGGGGTTTACGAGATTAGGGGCACCTTGTTGGGGCTCTGATTATAAGGGGATCCTACTCTTTAGGGGTCTATATTCGGGGGTCCCTTCTGATCATACACCCCCACAAGCCTTCGGTCGAAGGCACAGCCTTGGCAGTTCAGACATGGCGGCGAAGATGCCAAAATCTCGCTGGCACTGAGCTGACAACATCACAGGGTGACAAAGTGGCATCCTGCTCCTCGACTTCCAGATCGCCAAGTCCCTGCGCTAGAAGCTGCAAGGAAGCAGGATGACTGGACAATTTGGGCTAGCCATGACCAGTGACCTGAGCTTGGGATAGCTGCGAGAGTTCCACGGCGGTTTTCAAGCCTGGCTGACACAGACATGGGACATCATGAGACCGAGTAGATGCCAACAGCCAACAGATTGCAGCTGTGTAGCAAACATCGCTGCAATCATCGACCACGACACCGACATGCACGCAGTACGAGAAGCGGGTTTCTCACACATCAGCGCGAGAAAAATACACATCACTTCATCGGGGGCGGTAAGCACGCATCAGCGGCCGAAGTACGCATTAAAACGAAGCAGTCCCCACGAAGACGCTTCTGTTTGCACCATCTATCCATGAACATGATGGAATTGCTTGGTTTGTGCTGCGGACGCCATCGTTTTTGTACGTTTTCACATGTTTTGGCTCTGTTCCAACATGCCAACTCCCAACATCTCCCAACCAGACGCGTGGTTTTGAGCTATCCAGGAACATGGATGGAACTACTTCATTTCCGGTCATCACTCATCACTATGCGCGAAATGCGGTTCCCCAACGTAGACCCCGATCGACGTGAAGCAAAAACAAGCGATGTGAGTTAAAGAGACTCCTTGTACGATTGAAACCTGGAAGTAAAGAGATAGCCACCTCAAGGCGACTCCATCCTACCATATTGCAACTCTAGGCAGTATCTTCGCGTAACCCCAAAGCTAGGCAATACTAGGCAGTGTCTTCACACTGTTCGCGGCTTTTGTATTTTCAGCCTTCATTGTGGCTCACAATCCAGAAGCGCGCTATCTTTGCCGATGCCTGTGATATCCATAGGCCCATCCTTAACAAGCTGCCGTGCCACGTGCTCGGAAAGGACTGCAGAAGCTAGGGCTGCCACCTTCTGTGCCTGTGTCTCCCATTCCTGCAATACAGCGCAGCAGCATGCATTCTCATGGCCTCATGGCAAACAGCAGAGTGTCACTGGCGGACTACAAGCTAGTGTGGCCAGCTGGCGATGGTGCGTAAGTGGCCTTGTGCCAACGGTGCATTGACTTTTGTGGCTACGTTCGCGGAGCCTAACTGGATAAGGAGTGGCAGCTTAGGGTTCTCCAGCGCGTTGCATACCTAGATAAGATCGAGTTTGGTATACAATCTCTCTGCCGGTTGACGTTGCAAGCAAACCGCAAACAACAAAGTGCAGCGTCAGAACCTCCACAAACAGTGCAACCATATTGGCGAAATCATGACCCATACCATGCCTTCTCCATCACCAGGTCTCGCTGTGCGTGAAGCTGATTTTCCAGAAACTGGATTTGGTCCTCAACAAAAGCAGGAGGGTGCGCAGTGCTATGGGCTATGGGTATGGCTGCGTCCCATCACAAATTGGGTCTTCATAGTCGAGTGCCGGCTATGTGGAGGCCTGCAAGCGCGAAAGTTCCACCTCTTTGTCTTCGAGCTGGTAGCATTTGTTTCTCACCTTGCCAAACCGAAACACTGCCGTAGACAGAACATGAACCATCGCCGCCAGACTGCCTCACTTCGAAACTTCTCCGCATTGGCAACCTGATAGCTTGCGGCTGTTTTGTGTGCAGGAGTGCAGAAGTGCAGAAGTGCAGAGGAGCCAGTCGGCACAAGCAGGAGCAGGAGCCGAACCTGCTCTTGGAGCTGAGCTTTAAGTGCCTCAAGCTCGCAAGCCACAAGCAGTCTTGAGGTGCACAAGCTGGAAAAGAGGCCAGATAGTCAGATAGTCAGTGAAGCCATGGGGGCAGGCGCCGCTGGTTCTAGTGAACACTGGAGAAATACGGTGCTAGATGCAAAGGCGGAAACTTTTGACAATATGATAGGAAGAAGGATTCAGCAAACACAGCTGGGCATCATTGTCTTGATGCTGTGCGGATTTGAGACGACCCGGCAAGCCTTGAACATGTTTTGAGTGTCGGGAATCTCTGGTTTAAGCGGAGCTGTTGACCGATGTCAGCTCAGCCCGGATTCTGAGACTCTGGCTCGGGCGTCCCGTTGGTATTCGCGCACCTCCAGAAGCGTCAGCCGCACGTGACTATCACTACGAGTATACCATGTTAGAGTTACTTGGCATGTGCGCCGCCAGTTGCCTGTGTTTCGGCATGAGCGCGGCTGGTGCGCTCTGCTCGTACCGAGGCTCGTGCATCCTGCGCGTGTACAACAGAAAGTAGCATGCATTCGTTTGCTGATGGCAGCAGTTTTTTTACCGCTGTGAAGGAATTCCTACTAAGCTTTCCCCCACCGTACTCCTCGCAACGGTGCTCAGCATCAGCCACCTCCTCCTTGATGGCACGATTGTTATCCTGGGCCTCGCATGCTCTTAATGAGTGAAGCGCTATACTCAACTTCATCCTTCTAAAACCCTACGCCTCTCTAGCAATGTGGCCAGCATGATTGTAATGTGTCTTTGCTGCAGGGGTGGAGGCCGTGCCTGTTCCAGTTCTCCTTTCAGCGCCTGCCAGAAACCGGTCGGCACGGATTGTTCGGGACAACGTCACTCAAGAAAGCTACTGGTGCGAGCTTGGCCTCAAGGTTCTTTGCTACTCTGCTTTCTTCTTGCTGCACTCGTCGAACCTGCAGTGAATTGAAGAAAGGATGATTTTACCCTTGATCCAGTGATCTGCAGATTGCAGGTGCCTCCCGCGCGAGTCTCTCAGCCTGATCGAATCAGCGACAATGACCCTGTCGACATGCTCTCAAGTTGCTACGAGCTTGTGCCTTTTCCTTGGATGCTGCGCTTTCAGCTGCGCTCTTTTGCAGATCCACCTCGTCAAGTACTCGTATATTGTGCTCGAAGTTGATACTAGTTGAGCTTCAAGTTTCATTTGCACACATGTCACAGCGACTGCAATGATGACTTTCGGACGCACGAGGCGACTTTCGAATCTACCCATTCTGATCGTTTCCTGGCCAGAAACATCTAGCCTCTGCGGGAAAGATTTTAATTTATGACTTGATGAGAATGATGAGGCATCAGATTACTTCGGCTGGGGGATGATGGGTTGGCGTGTGGGGAGGGCGGGGGAAGATGCAGGGACAGGATAACAAGGAGGGCGGGGGCAGAGCTTGCCATGGAAAGTGGCTTGGGCATACTGGTGATGAAGCTGTACAGTTTGCCCACCCCAAGATGAGCGTAAATGTGGCAGTTCCCAAAAAAAATAGGCGATCTGCTCAATGCAGAAAACTTTCAAACTCCAGCCTGCAAACGGTCCACCTCGCGCTTCCAGTCATCAGAGACCGTCACCTCCAGACAAGTGACGCTGCCAGACACGACAGCAGACCTTTTATATATAATATGTACAATATAAGATAGAATATCCGCCGAGGCCTCGGGCCGGAGGTGTATAGGTTGTCAGAACCCCCCTCCAAATCCTCCCCACACCCAAACCATTTTTCGGGCCCTTTTTTTGCCTCCCCCCTAGGAAACCGGGGTCCGCAAGCGGACGGTTCGCCAGGACCAGAGGGAGTTGAAGCCCTCCCCCCCCCACCCCCCCGCCCCCCCAACCCCCCCCCAAACCCCCCCAACCCCCCCCCCCCCCCCCCCCCCCCACTCCCCCCCCCCTACCCCCGCCCCTCTACCCCCCGTGAGCACGGCCGGGGATGCATTACACGAGAGCCGAAGAGTCTGAGCTTCTAAAACTCCCTCCTCCCCCTTCCCCCCTTCCCGCCCCACCCCCCCCCTACGATCAATCCAAGCCGAACGGTCTCTTGAACCCTAAACCAAAAAAAAACCTAAACCCCAAAGCGTGAACCTTGAGCCCTAAGCCCTCAATCCTAAACTAACCCTCAACCCTGAACCCCAAACCATAAACCATAAACCCGGAACCCTAAACCCTAAACCCTAAACCCAACCCTTATTGCTTGGGGTCCAGCGACTTGGGCGCTGCGGAATCACCATGCTCACGCGGATGCGCTGGGCCGGGCTGAGACGGGTCGCGTAGCGTTAAAATTATATCTATATATGATATAGCATACGTTTGCTGGAGACCAGAACGCCTTGGCTGCTTCCACACTGGAGATCTCCCGAGCAGCTGCTCTGGCCTTGGTCAGCGGGCATAGCGGACAATGGTAACTTAGTTTGACGAAGATGATCCGGCGGCCTGCAGGGCCTTCAGTGCAGTATGACAGGTTTCGTCGTCTTCTTTTCGTGCAGATGTTTGTCCACGAAAAATGAGATATAAACGTGTCATGAAGAACAGAGGAAATCCTTCAAAGCAGTAAGGCTAGCAAGCATTCGAGATGGGGCTAAGCGGCTAAGGGTGAATCAGTTAGGGAACGGAAATACGGCGATCAGACAGTTTTTAAGAAATTTCAGTGATTCTGAGGCCTTTCAAAAGCCTCCCCTGCACGATGTATCTTGGTGTTTGTCCCCAATGCCTCCCAAAGCCTGCCTAACATGCTTTCTCAATATGAATGATGCTGTCGTTGTTGACAAGCACGTTCATTATTTGGGAATGCTTTAGCATGCTACGCACTACCCTGCATCATTCAGCTTGTTGTTCATGCGATGGGAGAACGCAACAATTGATTTCGGCAAAAGAATGTGTGAGCTTTGCCCCGCCGGCGAGTATCGCAGCGATTACAATCTTGTCACAGGCTGGGCTGCAGCGGAGGTAAAGGGGGATGCTAGAAGATGTGCCCAACCAAGGGCGGTCAGATGCTACTAGTATAGGTCACAATGCCCTTACAAGCTGTCAGCCCTGCAGTGCGGGTAGTAGTAGGATGGAGTGTTCGCAGGCTCGGAGGCTGGGGCCTCAGGTCTGCGGCCTGGGGCAACGCCACATCTAACAAACTCACAAATACGACCGCACCCTTCCACAAACGTTCAACAAGCATCGCAGCCACGTTCAGCAAACACGGCAGACTTCGACAAACACAGAGGCAAACCCTTCTGATCAGCCGCATGACTGATATATCACGCTCAGACCGATGGCTAATTCAGAGCTAGAAACAGCCTCAGGCAAAAGACAGCTTCAGCAAGCGACAAAGCTAGATATTACCACCCGCGCGACGCGAGTATCACTGTCCGACCATAGCGCACTCAACAAACAGCGAAGCTATTTCTATGTCTATACAAAAAACCTAAATAAGTGTATGTACAAGAAAAACAAATAAATAATCTAATTACATCTAACTACATATATATACATATATATATATATATATATATTTTTTATTTATTTGAACCACCAACCCCCGACCCGAGTATCGCTGCACGACACGGTTAGTATTTCAACTTTTTAACAGTAAAAACGGCAAGTAAACAGCGCAGGGAGCAAACGAGCAAACGACGAAGCCAGAAGTGATCAGCCGCATGAACGAATATTGCAGCCAAAGGCTGCTACTAAACAGCAAGGTTCTAAGAGTCACATTCAGCGAGCGCCGAAGCCACATTCAGCACGCGACGAAGCCAATGACACCAACCGAGCGACCCGTGTGTCACTGTCCGACCCGGTCAGTAAGTTCAACCTTAGAAACTACCATTGCTGTCCTTCGCTGATTATGTTCGCCTCAATGCTCTTCGGCATTTGCGAATATGAGTAAGAGTGGTACAATAGCAAGCCTTCTGGAAATTTGGGTTCATAGACCTGTCTTGGGCCAAAGACTGCTGACGCGAGCTACCACTAACACGGCCCAAGGAAGCAAGACCCAAGAGTTAAGATTCCCAGAAAAGTTACGAGGCGAATCTTGATTTCCTGATCTGGGCCGCTTTTGACATGTGTCATGGCACCTTTGCATCCATGCGCTATGATGTGCCACGCATGCTATGCATCTTCATTGACATGCATTCGCAATAAGCTTGCGGCCTCGGCATGGCGTATCTCCGCCCTGGAGCGCTCGAGCTCGCTGGTGCAAGATCTGACCTCGAGGGTTTCGCGGTTGCTTCTCCAACATCATAGGTCAGTTGTACTGTTGCAGAGACTAGCGGATAGTGGCAGCTTGACAAGTCATGCCTGATGGGTTCTTGCGGGCTTGCCTCGGAGTGCAACTGCTCCACTTCAGATGCCTTGGCCCGCAGCTGCGCCTTCGCCAGGTCAGAAAGGCTGTCGCACGTCTTGAATCCGGCGGGTGCTTGTGCATTTTCAGCACTAAATTTCACAGTAAACATGCAAAGTCTTCAAAGTCCTTGAGGTCTGAAATGACGAAACCATTGTCGTCGAGCCGCAGCTGCCTGACATGACGATACATCTGAGAAATTCTGTTCACAACAGTGCACCCCCCATCTTCACAGTGCACCCCAATCTTGCACAGTGGAGTGCATCCCATGGAGACCCTGGCAAAGACCATCCGGCCTCTTGGATCAGTTTCCCACATATCTCTTGTTGATTCTATTGATGCAGAATGATGCCGCCATGTCCAGACATGGTACTTCAAGCCTATCCCGCACAACGGCCCGGCCTCTCTTCCAGGCGAACTTCAGATATCTTGGCCTGTAGCTCCTGCAAGCCCAAGCAGAGCTTATGTAACAACTTTTCAGATTGTCACCTAGGCCCTGCCTCCACTTCTTTGCTGTGTCGGTTGCAAGCATGCGCCAAATCCTGAGCATAAGAAAGCCTGTGGGCTAGGCTAAGCTCGGCTGGTCTGGGCAAACCAACACAAGAACTGTGCCCGAACTTTTTCACTAAGTCGTGGCAAGATCTTTGGCCAGCTGAAAGAGCGGATTTCAACTCCATCTCTGCGCACGGTGAACTGGGATCCGGCAACATGTCGCTTCCAGCAAGATCAGGAGTGGTTCTGGAGATCAGTCTCTTGCAGATCCAAGCCTTTGACTCCAGCTCTGAGACAATATGCTTCTGATGGCACATCCACGCCACAGTGCGTAAGTCACGCTTAGCTGCTTAGCTTCAGATCGCCTGATCATGTCTGAGAAATGCTTGCCCTGGCGGCGGGTAGCTTGTCAAGCAATGCGTGGCTGACAGTCCCACTTCTGTAGGTCACAATTGATCTCGCTTCTAGGTCTCATCCACCACGGCCAGTGCTATTTCCTGATCAGCCCTCAGATCTGGATCCACGAAACGGAAAGCATCTCCATTGCGCCACACTGCAGCCAGGACAAACTGTCGATCTGCTCGCAGCTCAGCAGCCGCAAACTCGAAGGCGGCTCCGTTTTGACGCACCGCCCGGAGGACGATTTCATTGTCTCTCTGCAGCCGCGCCGAGGCATATTTCAAAGCCAGGCCTGATTGCTGCACTGCCATCTCCATCAGCTCCTTGTTGTCTCGAAGGCGGGCTCCCAGATATTGTAGTGCTCTCCAATTCTGCTGTATGGCCGCCATGCCGATATCGTAGTCATCAACAACACTTGGCTGGGCATACCGAAGCGCTTTCCAAGTCTTCCGCACAGCGGCCAGCATCACATCGTGATCGCCTTGCAGGCCCGGAGCTGCATACTCCATTGCCAAGCCATCTTGCTCCACTGCAGAAAGGACGAGCTTCTTGTCGCTGCGGAGGTTCTGTGAAACGAATTTCAAGGCCTCCCAACTCTGGCCCACTGCCTCCAACACCAGCTGCCTGTCAGATCGGAGCTCTGCTGGGGCATGCTGGAGCATCCGCCAGTTTTTGCGCACCTGTTCTGCAAAGCCCAGACCTTTCTGTAACTTTTGCACCATATCTAAGTCCAGAGTGTTGCAAGACGCCAACAAACTGCTCAAGGTCTCGAAATCGAAAAGTTCCCTGTCGCCGCAGAACAGCTTTTGGACAGATGGATGGATTCCTGTCCGAGTATCCAACTTGTTCTTCACGTCGCCAACTGTCGCCGACACCGGAACCAAGAACCTCTCCCGCTCATCACTGCCGTTCACTCGAACCCGAATTTGTAAGCCAGACGGGGGAGTCTCTGAAGGCTTGCGTGATCGAGGAGACGCATTTCGAGGATGGCCCTGATGTGCTGGTGGAGAAATGAAGGGCGCATCATCACTGTTTGCCTGGTCACCATTTTGGCGATAAAGACCACGCTTGCGATAATGGTCCTCTCTCTCCGGGTCTTTGTTGGCTTGCGCCGTCTTCTTTTCTGCCTTTTCTGTTTGGGCAGCGGGCTTCTCAGGGCACCCACTTGTGCCACTGTTGTTGCTCTTCTTGCTCCTCTGTTTGGCGGCAGCCTCTTTAAACTTTCGGAGCTCCTCTTCTGCCTGTCGTGCTCGGCTTTCGGCATTTCGTCTTCGCTTGTCCTCTTCCTCCTTCTCTTGCCTCTTTTTCGCCTCTCGCTGTTCTCGCTCTTGCTCTTCACGATGCTTGCGCTGCCGCTCTTCTTGGCTTCTCTGTCGCCTCTGCCGCTCCTCACGGGCCGCTCGTGCGCGCTCCTCTTCTTGGCTTTTCTGGCTGGCCTCTCGTTGCAGACTTGCTTCGTGTGCTTCCCACCTACCTTGAACTATCAAAAAGAGTCTCTGGCATTTGGCTCTCAGTCGCTCTGGCTGCTTGTCCGGATGCAGCTCGAGCTGCAATTTGCGCAAACGCCCCTTCCGAGCGCCTGGAGCCAGCTGGTCAATCTCCCGTAGTTCTTGCTGCAATCTTGCCATGCGGTTGGAGAGCCACCGGTCGTCTTCCTGGTCCTCGCGCTTTTGAAGTTCATCTCGAAACCGCTGCTGCTGTCTCTCCCAGTCCTTCCACTTGCTCTTCTCATCAGTCGGCTCGTCCGCCTCTGTTTGACCAGTGTAGGCAGTGTAAGGCGCAGCATTCTCGGACCTGAGATTGGGCTTTGCGTAGCCCGCAGAGCCCGTCTCCGACTGCCCCTCCGAGTAGTGCCGGATCCAGCGGGCGGACTTGGCATCTCCTGGTCTGATGTACACCATCTCTGCGCTCGTCTTTACCCTGTCGGAGTCATCCCCATCCTTCCAAGCAATCACATAGGTGCCATTTTGATTTTCTCGAATGACAGCTGCCAAGTACCAACATCCCTGTTGGAATCGAGCTTTCACAACGTCGCCTTTTGTGAACGTACCGTTGGGGTCTGGCTGCCGTTGCTGCTGAACTTCTTCTGGGCACTCCCCAGCATCATATTCATCAATGCTTTCTGCATCGCTGAGATCACCGAAATCGAACATGAGTTCAGCAATGGGGCGGGCAACGACATGAACGGTTCTGTCACAGCTCGATACCTGCAAGGCACTCGTTGAAAACTGCGCAGTGTAACAATATCGTGCAGCTGATGTTAGTCAACTTGAACTATCACCTGTGACTGTCTACACGTGCGAACTCTGGAGGCCATGTCTGCCTGCGTTCCGAAGCAAACTAGGCACATCGAGTCAGACTTGCAGATGCTACAAGCAAATCGTAGAAAAGCATTTGCGGCATGGAGCTTCCAGGGACAGTGCAACATGATGCTGGGCCACGAGCTGCTCTCAGCCTCAAGATTGAATCATCACGGTCCTCTCACAAGAACCAATGCTGACACAGCAACTCGGCACGGCTCTCCACGCTCTGAGGATGCAATGCCCGGATGATTCAATGCTACCGATGTTCTTCCTCTATCATGTCAGTTCCGTGACAATCTGCAGCGCAGTGCTGCTCTGTCTGCACCTTGACCATGGATCGCAGCTTCTGCTCTTCCAGGTCGCCGCTTGTCTTCTGCACCTCACAGCTTGGATTCTGGTGACATGTGGTGGAACCCGCTCAGAGTCGTACAGGCAGATCGCTTAGAGCATCCCAAAGAACCTGCTTCTGCTGCATCGTTTCCACCTGCAGGCTTGGACTCCGCATCGAATCCACTTGCATCGGAGCATGTCGGACGGCACCATCCAGCACAGAACCGCAGATACCCAAGACACTAAGTATTGAGGTTACGAGTTCCAGCCGCTTATTGAAGCGGTTGAAGAAAATGGTTGCCTCGGCTTCCAGGTCCAGGACCTTTGCACGGAGGGAGACGAGCTCACGGACCTGGAGCCGGCGGCTAAAGCTCAATCACAGCTTGGGCTCCCATACACTTCGGTACTAAGTTGCTAGACCGCTATATAATATATATATATATATATGTATACATACAGAATATAATCTATATAATATAATATATATATATTATATAATATAATATATATATATATATAATGATTATATATATATATACACTATATGATATGGCAAGATCTCAGACGAAACTCGGCCTCGTCCTGTGGAAGGGCACCGTTGGGCCTTGCCGGAGTGTTTCGATTTCAAACTTCCGCTGCAGAATCAAGGAACATGTGCCATGAGTTGAAGAGCGGCTTTGCACACATTAGCTAGCCGTTTAAAGTTTAAAATTGCTTGTGTCGGTGCAAACCCGAAAGGATCCCAATTTGGGTGAAAGCGTTACCCTGCACATTGGATGCAAAGACGGTTTGCCCTTGGAGGCTTGGAGGCATGCACATGCTTCTTGTGAATCCCTGGCGGTCTTCTGTTTGGGGCTGGCCAAACAAGACCCTCTGCATTTGGGTTGCAATCTCCCTCCTGACTTTTTTTGTGGGTGCCCCACCAACAAGATTCGCCCAGAAACGTCGGACATATTTTTGGAAATCTATTGGACGGCTACTGGAGGCTGCTTGTGTGCGGGACCTACAAGAAGACCCACTGGATTGGGCTGCAACACGATGCAATGTCACCCGTAGGGGGCTAGTTTTTTTGTGTCACTGAGGGTATGCTCTCACTCTGAACCAAGAGAGCCACTCCCCAATCCCGTTTCAATATAGTAGGGTAGCCACATGTTGCCACAATTTTTGGGAATAACCTTCTGAGCTTAGTCTTGGCCCGGCCCTCCTTTCCCGGCATCTCCTGCAAGCCCGCAGCTCTGCCCGCAGGCGCCCGCACCTAAGAATGTCAGTGTTTGGGGGTTAGGGTTTAGGGTTTAGGGTTTAGGTGGTACGCTGAGCAGCGGGCTCCTTTGATCGCGCCTCCAACTCTGCAGCAGATGCGGTCGCCTCGCGCAAGCGCCCGCAAAAACACATCATTGAAATGTTGAAGTTGCCGCGCTGTGCAAGTTCGCCTGCGCCTTGCATTGCACCATGGCTTCAGCAGCCTTCGCAGACAAGAAGCAGTCCTACCCATGTCCTGCCTTTTTGGGCAACTCTCTATTGTCGTGTATTGAGCTAGAACATGAGAGAGCTCTGTTTGAGTTTGTTCGATACCTTTGCAACACGATCACACAATCTGCAGTTGCACCTCTGTCTTCATGCGGCTCAGGCTG